AGTCTGTAGTGATTAGATGATCAGTGATAACAAACTCCTTGATTATGGAGTTATTTTCTCATCTTTTCAAATATCTTATTGTTAATCGATAGAAATTAAGGAACCGTCGAAAATCCGGGAGTACTAGGAAGATTTTTCTTTCTAGTTTGAATATCCCTGATAATGTTAACTTATATTTTCTCATTATATCAAAACCAAAATCTTTATGTTCATGTTTCAGAGGAAATAGAATGTAAAAATGTATAATCATTTTGCTGACAAACATAAAGTTTAAAATAAACGTGAATAAAATCCAAGAAAAGCTTCTGATAAGGTCACAAACGCACATCACAATGTTCCTTATTAGGCTATGAAAATCATTGTAATCATTATCATTGTTTCTATTAGAAATGTCGATAATTAAAGATTTGAACTGTGTCTTCGACTAACACTGGTTACACGTCACATATTCAGCAGTATGTGTTGGCTTGTACCCGTGAAAATTTAACCACCAAAATATGATATCACCTCCAATACTATTTAAAATACAGACTGTTTTATGACCTTCTGCTTCGGTCTTGGCTATTCATAAGTTAAATAACAAAATCAAACCACTTTTTATTGAATTTTCTATATATAAATGACAAACTTGAATCTATAGTTTGTATTTACATACTCAGTCAAGAATCCAGTCATATGACCATCTAAAGCCTAATCAGTTATAACATGGTCAGTTATAAGTTTGGTCACTTCAGATATTCTGGAAATTGTATCTAATAAAATAATGGTTATAACAGGCAGTAATTTATGATGAATGAATCCTCCTGTTACCTAACTTTTAAGACTATGTATGTCTCCTTGAATCGAAAGTCTAAGTATTTAGTGATAGCATAATAATTGATTTAGACTAAACGCATGTAAGTGTATATATGTCAGATGGTTGAAAGTAGTCGACAGAAAACCTTGAACCTCGGTTTAGTTCTGTTCAACATTCTTCAGTAATGTGTATCTTTCATCTTGAGGGAATTAATACCACTTGGTAAATTCAAACTTGCGTTATCTAGCTTCGAACAAGAACTTTCAAAACAACTAATGAATGAAAAACTCTTCAGCATAAATAAATTCATTCTCGTAATTTGTTATTATGAATAAATTAAATGACCAATTATTTTGCAAAACTTCAATTAAAGTTGATAATATCATGAAAACGAACAAACAATAAGGATAAAATTTAAGCAACATGTATAAAAAACTATATATTTTTTTAACTTACCACATTAATTATCAATAAAGAGTATATAAACAGTTTGGAAACTTTCAATACAGTATAACCAGTATAGAAATTAGAATTGAAAATTGTATAGCGGTTTAATTATTACCTTCAGAATGGGGAGGGGTTATGGATAAGATAGAATGTAATAATGGGGTTATTTCTTAGTAATACAGATTGTGACTTTTTTAAATAACATTTGTGGAACAGATTTTTCATTTTATTTTTTAAACTATTACTAACTTTAATCCATTTTTTGACTCATTAATTACTGATTTATCTTTTACCTATTAAGTTTAACGGTACTAGCTCGGTAGTTAAGGTGTTCGGCATCCAGCTTAAGTTGCATTTTGAAACCACGCTTACCCCGCTTTGGTCTGGGCAACTAGGTATTATTATTAGCTCCCACACTTTGAGTGTGTATGGCAGCCAAATAAACATAACTATACTTGGCAAGATGTTGGCAAATATAACGGTCGGTTAACTACAAATGGGTTTACTAATTTCGTATCAGAAATGTGGGTAACTTCTATTATTGCACCTGTATGGACACATCGGTAATGAGGCAGGAGAACTTAAATGTTTGTAAAAATACAAATTTCCATGCTTCTTTCCTATGGAGTAAAAAGGTGAGTATATGACTTCGAAGTTTGTTATCAGTGAATGGTAAGAAATTGCAACCTTTAGTCGTCACAAATACCTGTAAAAAATATCTTTTTGTTGTTGTAAATATTATTGACTGAGAATATCTTTGCTTTCAATCCATCAACATTTATGCGACTGTTTGGTATATGATAAAAAAATAATTTCGTGATAGATTTAGACAACTATAACACCAGTGAACAATTTTCAGTAACAATTCATATTTCTTATACTGACTGAAAACTATGGCATTATATCAGGTAATATAATTCGAGTACTGGATGACTTTATTCTTTCTGACGACCATTTTGATTTATATGATCGTAATTTCGACTGGCTATCGTATTGATCATAAGTGATTTTGAAACCAGCTTACTTAATTCCATTTTTTGGCCAACAATACTCAATGATGCTTTTCTCACTAAATATAAGTTCTGAATGATGAAGTTCAAATGATTATATTTAACACTTATTTCATTACAATTAACTGTTACATTGTGTTAAAAACAATGACAATTATAATTTATTTCAAAAATATTCATATAAGGGATGTAAATCTAACTGCTGATGATGAAATAAGTAGCTTTGCTTTTCGGTGAAGTCAGTTTCATTGAATCCACAGTGAAGTGATAGATACTTAATTGTAATTTTTGAATACTAAAGAAATCTCTTGATCCAAAGTTTCATTTTTATATTTATGGTATACAACACATTCTATATAAACCATTTTATAGACGTTGATCAGTGATTTCTTTTGTGATGTCGAGTTCTCTGAGCTGAATGTTTTAATCGCAAAGACTTGGTTATCTTTTTAGATAATATCATTAGGGCTTACTTCAAGTATAAATTGTCTAGAATACCAGAGGAGGATTCACAATCAAACCGATTACATCATCGATATTAAAATTATCAAAACCATTCACCTGAGCTATACACTTTTCAGATCATCTCAAAATCTTACGACCGTAATATGCTTTTAGTTAATTATTATTTCTTAAACTACTACGACTTGTCCTGTATTGTTTAATCAAACAAACTAATGACTTGAAAACGATTAAAAAAGTCAAACAAGACAAATAGAAATATAAAAACAAGGATAATAAAGAAAATAAAAAACTGTCCACGTTATCACTGACATCGAAAAAATCAAATCAAAAATACAAGGGTAGTTTTAGAATAAATGCAAACTGTTTATGAATACAGAACGGGAGTTTAAATTCTTTTGTGCTTAAGGCTTCGGTAAATATAATCGGGTGCCCTTGATTATTTCTATGCTATACTATAAGGGATATTTCTGGCTAAATCCCTCAACCAGTTTCTATCGAGTCCGTAATCGCAAAGAAGGATGGATATTTAGTGTCTATTCTAATTTGAACAATGCAGTTCACATATTTTTTGAACTATTTCAGTAAATTTTGACCCAAGTTTCATGTAATGCACCAATTTTATCAAAAAAATAATTTGTTTTAAAAATCAATTCCCTTTTGGGAAACAATAAATCAACACTAGTTACCCTAAAACTAATGTTCAATTAAGGTCACAGGTACCACCATAACTATGCACAATAGTTGTCTGGTATAATCGATGATGTTTTAAGGGATCTCATCAAAGTAATTCTTACTGTCAACTAAATTAACCATACATAATGGGATAAACCTATATATACTATTTAAACAAAGGAAGTTTTCTATTGATTTATACATATTCCGAGTGACATATATTCGAAAACAGTACTTTAAGCACTGGTTTGAAACTTGTAATTCCTAGGTTTAAACATGAACTCCATTCACATTGGTTTAATTGGTCAAGTAATATTACTATCCTATACACTTAAGGTGTAGCTCAATACTGATCATATAAATATTTACTTAATAAATGAAACATTTTCAGTTTTCATTGAAAATCAATATTGGGAGTTAACATAAAATCAACTAATTCTTATAAATGGAAATGATAATTGGTTTATTTTCACGATTTTTGTAAGCTTAATTCACGACTATTATGTATACAATATGTTTCAATAATAAAAAAATCCAAAAAAAAACAACGTCTATTCTGTTTTGTTTTTTCCAAGGTTTTATATTAACACCGTTGGATGCCGGCTCAGTGGTCTGGAGATTAGGCACTCACGCGCGAGACTGACAGGTCCTGGGTTTGAATCTCGCGAGGTTGGATCGTGGATGCGCACTGCTGAGGAGTCACACAATAGGACGAAACAGTTGTCCAGTGCTCCTAGGTTTCCTATGGTGATCTACCTTTGATAGACTTATCAATCCAACTATTAAATTAATAGATTATAATTCTTTGTAAACTTTAATCCATCTAAAAAACTCAAATCACTACTCAACAACTTCATAGATTATAATCAAATTCCAATATGAATTTCCCTAACTCAACAATGATTAAGAAAACAAGTTAAATTAAGTAATATTACATTCAAGACATCAGTTTTGTAATACATTTACTTTACTAATATGATCAACTGACTTAATTTAATCTACTAAATTTAGCATTCAATAATTCATCTAAATTATGTAAGACATTTTCAATAAGATTTATCATAAAAATCAAATTTACAGTCACGATAATCGTTATAACTAAAATAAAAGTATGATTTTAATTTTTAAAAAAAGGAAAAAAAATTCATGCATAAATTCATTCATTATCTAACATAAATAATTACAGTTTTTATAGGCAAAGATGGATAGTTGCTAGTGATGGTGTCCAGGACGCACGTTTCTTCCTATTTCGGACTCGTCGGCTGGATGTAACCGCATTTCAGAGTTGTTGTTCAATCTCGGACTCGAACTCAGTACCGTTCACTTCAAACGACATCGTATTATCCATAGTGAACATCAACTATGCGGTGCAGGTAAATCAAACTGACGAGTCCCAAATGCACGACTTGGATTCCACTGCTAACCACCATCCATCTCTGATTATAGTCCTTGTAACTTGAAGTAATATCTAGGTAATACGCACAGTATGAACATATGCCAATAAGAGACTGGTCAATTGCAGTCCTAAACATCAATGAGAAGATTCAAGTAAAAAAATACCAAGTGAATTGAATAAAAGTTTTTGTATAAAAACAATAATGAACACTTACTGTCTAAATATTTCTTTGCCAACTTTAATTTTCCTATCATTTGTTGATAAAATATTTTCCAATTCAGATAATAAACTTGAATGTTTTCTTTGTTCCATACGCATTTTATATGGTGAATTTATTATTATAATCTACTAACTTTGAAAGATTTAAAATTCATTACAAATTCTACAATATTTGTAATTAGTTGCTGTTGTTGTTGTTTTTAATTTTGAGTCCTTTTGCTTTATTTTTTTAGTAAAAATAAGTAGTTGTGTTCTTTACTTCCGTTTATGTACTTAATTTACAAAATAACTTTCACACTGTCACACATATATGTATATATGTACAAGATGAATATATATATTTATTTACAAAAATTAGATTATTATGGAAGGTAATCAATAATTTGTGCTAATCAAGCTTCTGACCTTGAGCACAGAGTTGTTTGCGCATGCGTATATGTTTGTATAACTATTTCACTAACTACCCGAAACTCTACATGAATGAATGAATCACATGATGGATAACCAATTGTAATAAGTGGATTTGATGTTATTTTCTTATGGAATCAAATTTATTCTAGCACAGGTTAATAAAAGATGGATGAATTATCTAATAGATAAGTGTTCTCAACAAGTTTTTATTTGAAAGGCTAGAAAATATGTCACTTCACAGTTAAATTAAAATCAGTAGAACTACAGTATTCAAGGTTGTAAAAGAATTGTCAAATAAGATATGAATTACCTCAAAATACTGTCATATTCTGTTTTAATCTGACTGAATAACCAAGTATAGGTTCATACACGCCAATTTCAGCAACACTACCGTAATATGCAAAATAGGTTTAGAAGAATTTGAACGTCCGACACGATTAGTGACAGTGCAGTTAATTACTCACTAACATGCTAATCTTATGGTGGATCAAGTACTTGTAATTATCAGTATAGAGATTGTTGAATTTATTAAAATTGAGATCATGAAACGATCAATATTAGATCATGATAGAAAAGTCGGAAGCACTGGACTGCTGTTTCGTTCTAGTATAGGACTCCTCAGAAGTAAGCACCCACAATCCAGCATGCGGGATTCCAACTCAGGATCTTCGGTTTCGTGCACTAATGCTTTACTTCTCGACCAATGAGCCGGTATCCAACGGTGTTAATATCTAACTTCAACCATTCAAACTTATTTCACGACCATCTTCCATTGCCTTCGGTGGGTAACTACTTCATCCGACACGGTTGAACACCACTGGTCACGGGCTTCTAACTAGAACATCGAGAACTACCTCTCAAGGCTAGTCATGCATGTGCATTGCTAGAGAGTCTATTACTAAGACGAAATAACAGTCCAGCGCTTCCAGGTTTTCAATCGTGGTCTAACATTGATCGGCTCATGATCTCACTTTATAAAAACTAAAATTAATTTTTTTTATTGACCAACATATTCTATAATAATTACATCAGTATTATTCTTACAAATTTCCTAAGAATAGTAATGTCAGCTTCTCAATGAAGCTGTTCAACGTAAAGAACGCTACACTACGAACCCTATCCGCCTGAGGTAAACCACTAAAACTACATTTCTTTTACTAACTAGACACTTTCATATTTTCTGCTTACTGACGAATTCGAATCAGTTGAATTGGGAAGTAATCTCTGAATAGGTAATTTGCTTTATGCGTTACTGAAATCATGAATCAGTAAAAAATAAAAATTATCTATCTACCTAGCAAAAATGAGGAAACAGCATAAGGTTATTTTATAAAATGCTTAGACTATTTAAAACAAACTATATCATTAACTGACATTTGTCAAGGAAGTCACTGAAAAATCATAGAGTATTGGACAAATTTTTTATTCTAGTACAGAATGTCACACCCGTATACATATTACTTAAACATATAATATGTATTAATGTATAGATAAATATAATAAATGGATTGAAAAGACATTAAATAGATTTTATCTGAGCGGAATGTTTGTAGTGGCGTTGCTATGTTAAGGCCATATAACTTATTCTAGCTTCTGAACAAGCCAATTTATCCGTTCTACTTGAGTCGTGTTTTGTCTTTGTTAATTATTCACTTTTCAACCCTGACTGTTTTTATATACGCGTATGTGTGTACACTTCTTATCCTATTCATCACATGTTTGTAACTTATTTTTATCTAGCTATAAATATTGATTATTGCTAGATTAAACGGAGCTAGTTCACACGCCTTCTCCACTGCGCGTCCTTTTGTTTCGTTTTGCTCTCTCTTCTTCGCTGTGATTCTCTGTTCCAACCAACGAGTGTACAATATATACATATTCGAACATCCATTCTCGTGTTTGACCTATTTAATTGTCATTCACTAACGCGATTTAAGTCGATGATTATATACGAGGATAGCCGACATATGTATGTCAATAGCATTCATACGATCCAATTGGAGTCAGAACCCGGGCAACTAAATGTTGTTTTTTAAATAATGAACTATATAAAAGACCATGAAAGTCATTCACAAACAGTTAACAATAGGATTAGATTAAAAGCAAACAATAATTTTAGGATTGACATCCTTACGACACTTCAGTATCACTTGAAGTATTTGTCGAGAACCACTACATATTTAACAACTATTATGTAACTTGATTTTTTTTTCAAAATTTTCAATACAAATGTCAAAACGGTTCTACTGTGTGGGGTAGAAACTTGGAGAACTACGAAAGCCATCATCCAGAAAATACAAGTGTTTATTAACAGTTGTTTACGCAAAATCTTCGGATCTGTTGGCCAGACACTATTAGCAACAACCTACTGTGGGAGAGAACAAACCAGATCCCAGCGGAGGAAGAAATCAAGAGGAAGCGATGGAAGTGGATAAGACACACATTGAGGAAAGTACCCAACTGTGTCACAAGACAAGTCCTCACCTGGAATCCTCAAGTTGAAAGGAGAAGAGGAAGACCAAAGAACACATTACGCCCAGAAATGGAAACAGACATGAGAAGAATGAACAACAATTGGATGCAACTAGAAAAGAAGGTCGGCGTCCTATGCTCCATTAGGAGTAACAGGAGTAAGTAAGTAATGTAACTTCCAAGGAACAATTATATTTGTGCAGTTTTATCGGTCAGTCACAAGCGTATGTCAATCGGTTTAGATTCACATGATAAATAAGTATAGTTAGGTGAAGTTATCAGGATAAATACCAGAGTAATAGAAGTAATAATGTAGTGTAATTTCCTATAGATATTTAAAACCATACTTGACTAGATGTCTTGATACTAAAAGTTGGTTATATTTTATTTGGTGGCAAAGAGTAGAGTTCAGTACAATTGATAAATCTCGTTTAGAACAACTAGAAAATTTTCCGATCGACGATTTCATTTACTTAAGCTGTACCATTGAATTCATAGTTAATTTTATTTGCTAAAATAGTAGTCCATAATAGAGAAAATGTGAAAAAAATTGCAGTGTAACTTGTCTGGACAAAACGTTGGAATTAGTTAAATTTCAATCGCTCAGAATATTCGAAATATAATTGGACATTATTTATTCTGCTCTTAATAGCCATCGAGTGGACAATTATCTTCACCTTACCACTTTTCACTACCCAATTATTACATAATTTCCTTTCGACATCTTATTTTCCTAAGCGATTCATGACAAGATACACTCCATTTTTTTTAAATATTCTCTTCTACTATGGACTACTATTTTAGCAAATAAAATTAACTATGAATACAATCGTACAACTTAAGTAAATGAAATCGACGAAAAGAAAAATTTCTTTGCTGAATCGCCTTCATCCTTATATATTTCAGCCAATTCACTTGAATTATAAAGAAAACTTTTATGGAACAATAACAGTCAAAAATAAAGGAAACAAGCCTATAATATGTGGTAACGTCTTAACACTAATCACATTTCCTTATATTTAAAAATGGGAAAGGGAGGGAACTGTACAGCACTATATATTAAATGATGTTAAGGAATATTCGACTAAACTGAAATATTGATCTTTTACAAATGTTTATTATTTTACAGTCCCACTCTCTATCATTAAACGGAAAGGGGAAGCTTAGTAACGACAGAAATAATCTCAGCTGGTATGAAAAGTTAAACATGAGCACAATACAAAACAGACTAATGAGGTCGAAAAATGACAAGGAAATGGAGTAACCTCATGAGGAAGACAGGGAATCAATGCAACTATCTCATCATGGCCAAATTTAGGCTAGGTCACGTTCTTCAAAAATAGATTGAACCTTACAAGCAGTTGTATACCTCCCGATTCTCATGAACCGATATCATGTTTTTATTTGGTTGCTGTTAGCTTTGCGTCGGCTCACTTCTATGGCAGCCAGTATTACTTGTCTGGGTAGGCAGTGGTTTGGTATGGGTACAACATATCAAACTTGATCCACGAAAGCTTATAGCCAGAGATTGAGTGAAGAACTTGCGGTAGGCACCCGACCATTAGAACCCTCGAATAATTCAATGGTGTATCCAGCTTTTGACTACTGGATATCTGTTTTCAGTCAAAGAAAAAGTAAGTAGGGTCGGGTAGCAGGTTACTACAATCGGTCATTACACAAACAGTGTAGCTAAATGCTCTGTACGTTAAACTACACTTCCTGTATAAGTTATTTTCTGAAATTCATCACAAACACTGATTTATTGACATTACTGTTTACTAGCTAAGTGAAGATTGCTTTTTGGTTAACTTAATGATTACGAAACATATTATAGCATGAGGTAAGGTACTACGTATCATTAACTGAGGATGAATTCTTCATTCACTAAAACTGGTTACATGAAACAAGTGAGTTGATTTTCCAAAATGTTGAGTTGGTCTTCTGTCAGAATGTTACCAACCATCAGAAGTGATGTGACATCGATGCTTAAGCTATGAATACCAATGAAGTTTGTGGTGATAGTTATTAGAACTTTCTACTTTTTAAAATTTGACCATCTAGATCTAGTAAATATTTACTGTTACTACTAGTTGTACATCCTGCTGAGAATTATCCAAGTCATTAAATGTCATATTACACAAGCAAACTTTTCGAATCTATTTGCTGAAGTAAACATGGATTCAATAATGTAATCCGTGTCATCTATAAGTGATGGAAGGTGAATTCAGTCTGGAAGGAAGAAAGGATTGTTGTATAAAATTCAATAATCGATCTATTGACGGAAATCTGATTTAATTTGGACATTAACTACAATATTTGCGCTAAATTCTGTTTAGCTTTTTAAAGTTAAGCTGAAAGTATTGTGACCGAAGATGACGTTAGTATGTATGTGATCCGGTTACGCTTTAGAGATTTTTATGTATCCAATTTATCCTTTATCCAGAAACATATTACTTCAAACATTAAAAGTCGGTAATAATAACCGAAAAGCAAGGTAACATCATCAATTCCATCCTCTAACTTTTTGTTACAAAAATCTCGCCTTAAACACAGTACTACA